TGTTTTGTGGGGTTTAAAAAAAAAAAAAAAAAAAAATGTTCTTGGTTTTTCGGTTTTGGCATGCTGGGGTGAATCAAGTGCAAGCCACCACCAATTCCAGCAATTAGAGGAGGGAAAAAAAACAAACAAACCTTGCTGCACCCAATCCTATCAGGAGCCAGAGCAGAGGCCATGCTGGAAAGCAGTATGCTAGAGAAAAACTAAACCAATATCTACAAGTCAACCTTCCCATCCACTGCTTTAACAGCACAAAATGTCCCCCGCCCTCCGTTGTTATTTAAACATTCAGGAATGTGAGTGGCAAAACCAACACTTGGAAAGCAAAGGTAAGCAGGAACGAGTGTTATTTTTTTTTAAAGTTGCTTTATGTAGATTGTTACCAAACCAAACGTCAGTGATCAGAGAACCGCACTGCAAATGGCAGTCGAACATTCTCAACAGCAATGAGAAGCAGAAAACATGGGGGGGGGGGGCATAAAAGAAAATCTCACTGATAAAAGAAATCATGACAGGATGGTTGAGGTTGTCTGTGAAGGCAGACACTTTGTGACAGGATGTCACAGTGTTTTGGTGACAGAACCAAGGAGAATGCTAGAGACTGGTTGTGAGTGGTGCTTGTTGCCTGGGCAGCAAAGTCAGTCTTCCTATTTGCTAGTCAAGACCTTGGTAGCGACAGCACATTCCTCCCCCATGGCAGAAATCACGGTGACCTACAGAGAGCAGACAACGTGTTTGAGTCAATCATGTGAAACGTTACACTTGCAGCTCACATTCTCCCACTGGGAAAACCTGCTGCTCTAATTCTAGACTCTGAATCCCGCCTGCTTTAGGTAAGAGAGAACATTACTTGTGAAAATTATAAACACACACACACACACAGTGGAAACACATCTCACGGTGGTTTTAATGCTCTCACAATGTCAAGTATTTGCCATATCATATGGGAAAAAAAAAACTTAGAAAAAAATCAACTGGACTAAATTTTTAGATCGAAGACGTTTCACCTCTCATCCAAGAGGCTTCATCAGTTCTGACTGCCTGGTGTTGAACCGGAGATATTTATCCCCGTCGGTGGTGTTTCAGTCCTTTGAAGGCCAACAATGTCCCCTAACGACTGAGTTGTTATAGCCCAGTATCAGTGAGAGTCGTTACCTGTCTTTGAATCCTCCCCTGTCGACCGATGCCTATTGTCCTGGTGGGCATGTTTGGACAGAGATCTCAAAACAGGATTGTAGATGGAAGACAAGTTGTGTCTTAGTCCACCACCCCTATTTAGTGAGGGGTGTTCTATTTTTACAAAAATAGCTTCCTTAACTCCTCTCTCAAACCAG